AGTGTTTTTTATGCTCATATGTATCAGAGTATGGAATAGTAGCCTCAGCAAATAAGACTCTGAATCAAATGGAAATAAAAAGAAAGTAAAACAAAATAATAGTAAAATGCCATGGCTCCTCCCTACTCCACTGTTCATGCAGTCTAGGTGAACAGTCTTTACCAGACCACCAGAAGTCACAAGTACCTGGTTACAGTAAGCAGCTCAAAGGGGAAGCTGTGCACAGAGCATCCTGAGTTCTGACATTGTGGCTGATCTGGAGTGACATGGAGGTTGGCGCAGAATGATGCTCTCTGGGTCACACAAGACAGCCCAAAAAGGTTGTTAGCATTTGACAAGGTCACCATGAGCTGCACAGGATTGGCAGAAGGTGTGTGGGTAAGAGCACGGTCAACATCCTGCCCAGGGCTCCCTCAGGCACTGCTGTGGATGGACACACAGCCACGTTCCCTGCAGGGGACACAGGCACTGATCACTACCCCGAGAGGTGTAGCTCCAAATACCCTGTCAGGGAAACTTCAAACTATCTTGATGGGATCTGTTTACCATCACACAGAGATCACTGAGCATCCTTCCCACTCAGGAAGTCTTCAGCTGGATGTGTAGATAATTTACTCCCTCCCATTTAAAACCTGTATAAAGCCTGCATTTTATATAGCATTTTATAAGGCCTGCGGACCACAACAGGGTCCTGGGAAGGCATCCACTGCCTTCCAGAAGGCACTGGACATGCAGGTTTTGCCCAAGAAAGAACACAAGAGGCAGCTGGCTCATAAAAACTGCAAGGCAAGCTATGCAGGCTGGCATTTGCCAGCACAGGCAGGCTCACACCCAGCTCCACAACTGAACCAAGCAGAAACAGCTGGTAAGTCCTGGCCTGGACTTCAAAGCAAAGACAAGACCTGATCAGGGATGTTATCTCATGTCTGAGCACAGACAGTGACACAGAAGGAGAGCTGAGAAAGCTGAAATCCAGATCCAACCTCATCTCACAGCACTGACTCAATGGCCATGTGAGCCAGCTCCCTGCCTGCTCCATGTCATGGCTGTGTGGCTTCACCAACAGGCTGGCTGGGAGGACCCACTGAGCATCTGACTCCTCTCCTGCTCTGAGGGAAACTCTAGCCAGCAGACCAGCTGAGCCACTCTGCAGGCCAGCCAGGATGGAGACCCTTTCTGGGTGACGTGTCCTGGCTTTGCACCACCCTCCTCGTGAAGTTCATTCCTAACTTTGCAAACTCTGACTTGTGGCCATCAACCCTTGTTTACTCCTCTGGTACTGCCAGAAGGAGATTGGCTCTAATCCCCTTTCAGAGCCTCCAGCCATTATCAGCTCATCCCTTAACTTCTTCCTTTCAGGACTAAACAAATCCATCTCCTTTACAGGCTTATAGGAAGAGGTTCTGACCATGTTGTGTGCCCTCCACCAGACCAAATACAGTTCTCCAACATCTGTCTTCAACTGAGAGAACTGAAAGAGGACATTGTTTCAGGTGTGGACTCAGTAACACCAAGCAGAAGAGGAGAACAAGTAGCCCCGGACATGATTTCCACTGTAAGTTCATGTTTATGTGGGGTCCCCCGTAACCCCTTCCTGCAGGGCTGCTAGTACACTGGTAGATTTTCCTAGTTCCAGTGATACCTCATAGAGCAACATGTGAGGTACGTCACCATCACCTGTATGATTCTTGGAAAGGGTAATTTTTCTCAGTCAGATAATTAATTAATTAAATGTCAGTCTCTTACTATCTGGTCTTTTACAGTCCTGGCCAGCACCTGAGCAGATGGTGAAGGAAGGAGGATGACCCACATCCTGCAGGCACCTCAGCAGGGCTGACTTAGGGCCAGCCCTTCTCTTTCCCTTTCCTCTCCTTTTTTCATCCCTATCTCTGCTCCCATCCGAATGCTGGGCCCACTGTGTGTGACAGCTTCTTGCATGCTCCAGGACCCAGCAGGCTGCCCATACTCCTCTGGAGACAGGGTACAGGGGAGGATGGAATAGCAGAGCAGGATGCAGGGATGCACAGTGGAGGTGGGGAAGAGCCCTGCCAAGTGGTGCACTGGAAGGGGGAGTCATTCTGAAGGGAATGACTTTGAAACGGGCCAAGCTGCGCTCAAGTTCATAAGACATATGCTGTGGGGAGCAGCAAGTGATTCATTATGAAGCTTCTACACTGCAACTGCATGAGGTTTGTACACCCCTGCAAGACAGCAGACAGCACCATGCAGCCTTGATCTGCAAATCTAAATGCCACCCACCTGTCATCATTAGCATTCCCTAGATGGGCTAGGCAAAGGCTATGCTGTCCAGTCTGGACTAATGCTCTCTCTGGCTTTTCTTCAGCTGGATGTGCAAAAGTATGTTCACTTCATACCCAACATTCTTGGAAGTTTTGCAGAGCAACTTGATTTTCCAACTGCCCCATTTTCCACCTCCAGCAGATGTAATGATGGCACATATAAATGCTAGATGAAATGTCCACTGGTTTCCCAACACATCTGAGAACACTGAGAGCATTAGAATTGGTGATGCCATAAGGCTACAATAAAGTACTTCATATTACAGGAGCTGAAAGATGCCCATCAGTTTTGCACCTCTGGCCACAGCTCTGACCCTCATGTTAGTCCTGAGAAAGAGTTGGTGGGCTGCAAGGCCAACATTTAATGTCTGCACCAAACTTCAGTTTGATCACAACTGAAGCTGGGCAGACAGCAGCGCATGTACTGCCTGTAAGCAAAGCAGCAGAAGCTGCGTTTGCTGGTGGTGAAAACACCATTAAATGCAAGTTGGAAGGAGAGGCCACGTGCACAGACCTGGTCCAGGTTACCCACGTTTAACTGCAAATTGAGATGAGAAAGTGTCTTTTCAAAATCCTGTTAACACATTCACCTTTGAGAGCTTTCAGCAAAAAGGCAGGAATGTTACAGGGTCAAATGCCATGTGTTTGCTTGTTCTTTCTTAAGACAAACCTTCATTGATTGACTGCAGGAAGGGTGAGAGCTGAGCACAACTGATGGAGGAGTCCCTCTGCTAACACAGAGCTTCCCAGAAGAGACTAACTACAACTGACAAAGCTCTGCCAAATATTCCCTGTTCTCTGCCTGCTGCACACTGCCAGAAACTAGTCCGAGGGGCTGCTGGTTCACTACCACTTCTAGAGTCAGGACCCTCCTCAAGTAGCAGAACTAGCAGTCATGTGCTGGGATTTTGAAGGAGTGAAAGAACATGCATAGCTGAGACTATGCTGTAAGCTTGACAGCCAATGTAAATGACAGCTATAGGGAGCCTCTCCACAACTAGGGATCCCCTAGAAATGAGGGCCTAAATGTGGGATGAGCTTTCACCCACAGATGAGAAACCCAAATAGTGCTCTGGTCAGTATATCCAGCCATGAACAGGCAAAGCCATTTGCAGAGGCAGCTACAAGATGAGGATGTGCAGTTGGTGACCATTACTAGAAGGATTTCTGGGACTTCAACATGGCACACCAGGCCAGCTTTCTCAGAGGAGCTCTACTTGTGATGAGAACAAGTCAGGTCCACCCATGCTGGCCAGCCTACCAGTTGTAAGTGCCTGAGCAAGCCAGATTGCTCATATGACCAAAGATTAGTCATATACAGGCTGCAGCACCAGTATTCCAGGGCCCCAGTGACTCCTTGTCAACTCAGAAGTCTCATCCTGCAATTACCACCACTCCATTCCCTAATGCCATCATACAACCCAGAAGACAAGGGCATCTCTGACCTGTCATTGCAGGGGTTGGAGACAAGCTTTGCAAGGACATTTAATCTTACCAGGGCTTCTTTTTTGCTCTTAGCAAAGATCAGAGAGCACATCACTCTTGCTGCTGCCCCCAAAGTAGGAAGGGCTCAGAGAGCTAATGCCAGGATCAGGTGATTGACTACTAAAGAGACCTAAAACCCACATTCAGTAATACCGTGTCCAGAACCCTGCCAATCACACACCACTTCTTGGCAGTCCTGAGCCAGCCAGTTCTGCCTACATGCTTGTGCATGTACACAGCCACTGTCTGCACATCTGCAGTCCCTAACCCACATGCCCGAGCCCACCAGCAGCCAAGTACCTTTTCTGGATTACATTCCTTCCCTTTCCCGCACAGCCAGTAAAATGACTGATTCACCAGGGACTCATACACACTCTCTTACCTGCACTCTGTCCCCTGCTTCCCTTCCCAAGCAAATAAAGTCACTTCAAGGTGGGGTCTCACACCTGTGCAAGTTGGAAAGTTGTATGGAAACTGGGAGAGTGAATGGCCTTCTTGTGGCTTGCTCTCAGGCACCATTTGGTGCCTGAGTAATCCTCAGATTAGCAAGCTTTCTGACAGTACATGGATATTACCATCTTGTCCTTCACGTTCCCTTTCACCAAGACAGTTTACGAGAAAAGCTAAGATGATGTAAGCAGTCACCTCCATCCACCCTTCCTGGCTAAATTCTTACAAGCAGCAGAGCTGTATCCCAGTATCTCAAATATGTCTCACATAAAGCAGACCTCTAGGTGAGGCTTTCTGGTAGCTGTCCCACAACTGCAGAATCAAAGCCATCAGACCTGTCATTTGCACCACCGAGCAAATGGCAGGTTTTTGTCTGAGGCCAGAGCAGTAAAACGTCACAGGCAGTGACAAGCTGAAATGCTCACTGTGGCATGGGGATGGTAACATCTCACAGATGTGCTGCAGCGCACTCCCACAGGCAGGGAGGAGGCAGGCTCAGCATGGATCTGGGAAGAAGGGTGTGAGGTGTCCCCCCAGCAGAAAGACACCTGCTTCTCCATTCCATCCCAACACACCAATACCAGAGGACTCAGATGTGGTACAGACCTCTTGGACAGAGAAAAGACCAAGTGGACATTTTGCTTACAAGGAGTTGCCGGCACTGCCTGGCATCACTTCCTTGTGGAGAAATGGAAACAGGACTTAAGTTAGAGGCCCAAACATCACTCTAGTGCACAGCCAAGCATCCTCCCTCCCACAACAGTCTTCGATACAACACATTTATTTTGTTGTGTGGAAGTATTGTACAGTACACATACATTACCAGAAGTTTCAGAGCCCTGAGTTGTCATTCTTACTGCCTTCCTGGAATTTCAGAAGAGGGCAAGATCACTTCCCCTTCCCCCATTTTACCTACAAAGAAACAGGCCAGGAGAAGTCCAAAAACAGAGGCACTTGCAGAAAGGACTGGAGATTAACCTTAGAAAGTCAGACTCCCAGTCCACCACTCTCACCACTTGAGTCCTCTTTCCCTGGTGCTGGAAGAGAAAACCCTAGTGCCACTTTTCCACAAGGTCTCACTCCTCTGAGAAAACTTCTGTGCACCTAAACAGAAACCAGACTAAGGAGATTGCACAAACTAATATAAACCCTATTGCACTTTAAAGGGACTTACCACCTCTGAGGGTCTGAGAAAAGTTTTGAGGCATTCTAGGTAGGGCTGGGATTCTCTTAAATTCTTTAAGATTGTTTAAGAAAGAGTCAAAAAGGCATTTGCTTCCAGCACAATCCCACTAGAATCTGAGTGGAACTTAACCTGCACAAATGAGGAAAGAAGGTATCATGCACCTACTTTTTCTAAACCACAAAACAATAGGGCTCTGGTACCAACTCAACCTCTCTGTGCCACAGAGGAAGCTAATGCTGTAAAAGAAAAGGAGAGTGCAGTGTGTAATGTGGATTAAGACCCAAAAATAGACAGAAATAGTCAGAAAGACAAATGTGCCATGGAGAGCAGAAGGGAGGGAGGGAGCACCCAGGCCTCTCCCACCAGTTCATGTCAGTACATGAGATGGTGCATCCGTCTCAGGAGAGCAATGACCCAGTTCCCCAGCTGGGACCCCTTCAGCCACAGAAAGAGTTCATATAAGTTGATCTGCCACAGGCTTATGGCTTCTGTGAGTGAGATCTGGGCCCTCCTGTAAAGCGAGTGACTCTTGCTCCTCTGGTACCTAGAATGAGAGAAACAGCTGCATTAGATCCAGCAGAAAACAGCCCAGGAGGAAGGAGGCCTGTCCTACATCTTCTGCACAACTGACTCTCCCCAGGGAGGGCAATATCCCCCATCTGGAGAAACCCCAGGAAGCAGGGATTTTCTCTAAGCAGTGCTTCTGAGGAGCTGGGGACCACATTTCTTAGAATGAATCTGGCAGAAGAGACAGTCTGCTCCCTTGAAAACTCACTTCTCTTCCCACAGCGTGTAGTGATCCTGGGTTATGGCATTCCTTTGCTTCAATGCCCAGCTTCACCTCAGCTCAGAGAGACAGGTGAGCACTCCCTATTGCTTTTCCTGGTAGCACACTTTTAAGAGTCCAGCAATCCTGCCACAGACTCCAGGAAAAGTATTTCTCCACCTTTCTTTTAGCAGGGGCTAATTGGGATTCATAAGTCCCTCATCAGCCCAAGAAATAACTGTTATTTCATCTACAAGGAGGAAGAATCTGAGGCAGAAGTGCATTGATTCATAAGACTCACAGAAGGAAATCACTTGCACAGCTCCTGTTCTGGCTTTTAAACATCAGCCTGATCTTCAGTCAGCCCAATCCCCTCAATCAGGCTGCAGTGAACTTTCAGATCTATGCTACTCACAAATACTGCCTAGTGGTAATGCCTGTAATGGGCAAGAAGACCTCTCCCCTCCTCTGGGGGGAAAAATCCTAAACCCTTAACCTAAGGCCTCCAACTCTACCCGTCTCCAGCTCCAGGGTGACAGGTTTGTCCTCTGGAGAGGGTGACAGATGTAAGAACAGCACAGAGGCTGAGATGTGTAACTGAGCAGGGGCAGGACCAAGGGAAGAGATCCACTGCTAACAGTAATAGGCCAAAAGGTTGAGTCAGAGCCTTCTCAGGCCCCCTGAATGGGGCCCTAATAAGCCTTAATGGCCTGACTGGCCTGGAATCACCCCCAACCCTCTGCTCATAGGCCCAGGAACTTCAGTTAATCTCAGACCTGCAGCTTCAGTTCCTGCTTGAGCTACACTGGAAGAGTAATGGTCCTCAGCTCATGCCCTGCTGCGAAGCCCCATGGCCTGGACCTCAACTCACATATTGACCTCTTTGCTTGACCTCAGCCCTGTCTTGTCACCATGGACCTGCTTGACAACCACCACATATAATCTACAGATTGACTTTCTAGTTGGTCTTAGACCTGCCCCATCACCAGGATTCTGCCTTATTATGTGGACTTTTGATTGGATCCGACCACCGTCTTAGGGTCTGTCCCACAGCTCCTGCTGCTCCCTGTCTGGCTCTGACGCCTGGGTAAGAGACTCACGTGGAAACAGCTCTGATGCAGCAGCGAGACATGTTGAGGAAGGAGCTGGCACTGGCCCGTGTGTGCAGGGCTGACTCAATCCCCCTTAACAAGTCATTGGTCTTCAGCAGAAGCAGCATCTGGCGGGGAACATTGTTGAGGAGCTGGGTGATCTGGGGCAAGTAAGCAGCAGCGTTGGACCGGATCTCCATGTCCTGTGGCCAGCCAGGTCATGTCAGGGAGAAAAGAGAGAGAAGGAGAGAGTACATGGGAAATCCAGGTCCAGATGCAGCTGAGATTGGCCAGGAAGAGTCTGTGTTTTAACAGACCATGACAGTAGGCCAGAAGCTACAGAGCTCTGTCCTGCTTTCCTGCAGACACTGAGCACAGCACTCATAGCACAGATCACTCTTGCCATATCCCATCTGCCCTTCGGTGAGATAAGGACCCATCCCCTCACTGGCAGGGTTAATAGCCTCTCAGGAGAACAGCCACTCACTCCTATCTTGGCTCTTAGTCCTAAACAGCCTGCAGCAACCACATCTCAATACTGCCCTTGGAGACTTCTCACCTCATCAGCCCCAAAACTGGCTGAGTTGCAGGTAGCAGAATTGCTCAGGAAGGTGGAGGCATGCTGCAAGGACAACCAAGCTGCTTGCTCTTCACTGCCCCATGCAACTCATGGCTCTATGCTATATTGATGAAGCCATTTCCAAGGCCCAGTTTAGTCCTTGGTCCTCAACACAAATCAGTAGAGGTGAGAAAAAATTATGCAGTTAAGCATCATGTTAACCCAAGAGATAAAAATCATCAAATTGTCATCTGTCAGATCTAGATCTATATCCTATATGACAGCAGCCAGTAGCCAATAATTAAGGAAAGAGTGTAAGTTCAAGGCAATCCTTCATTTTCTGTGGTTCTCCAGTTCTCCAGATTCCAACAAACACATTGCCTACTGAAAGAACCCAGTGATAACATACGGAGTACAGCCTGAGCCATTGAAGACGAGTTCCTCTCCAAATACAAGCTACCAGAGCAAGCAAGATAGTCAGCCGTGACTCTTCATGTTTTTAGATCTGAGAGTTCCTTCACCATCCCAGTAAATGTAGCACAGTGTAGCTGGGAGCTGATCCTATACACATACCTTGTCCCTACCTCTTCCTAGAGAGGCCATGACATGAAATCTAAAGACAAGTCTCTGGAACATCTGAAATCTACAGAATTCAGGAGGACACATGCAGGAGGGCAGTAAATAACTTCATACAGGAAGGAGGCTTCTTTGTGGGAAATGACAGCTCTAAAGCCTTCTCTCCTGTGGAATGAGGGATAGCCTATATTGTATGATGTGGGATCTCACACTCTTTGTGAACTTCAAACGTTTTATAAAGGAACAGACCTGCACAAACTGAGTGTGCCGGTCATGATGGTCAGAGATGTACACAGCTCACACAGCACAATGGTTGGTGTTAACAAACCAATCTTTGTGTCCTCCTGCCTCCATCATTGACCAGATACACAAGACTTGAGCAAGAAGATGCTTAGCTCTCCTAAATGTTGTTTTATTCCATTATTTGTTGGCAGAAAATTCCTCCCTGATTATCCCTTATCCCTTTCTCCAGCCAGCATCATTGCAGAGCTTACATTATTTTCCAGACATAGGTTTTCTTTTCTATTTCTTTTCCTTCTATTTTTAGCTCCAGCTGCTTGTCCACATCACAAAACAACCACATGATCAGTCATCACAACTGTCACTTTCTGTCAAGGGCAAAGTCTGTGTGCAGAGGAAGAAATAAGCTAAGCCACAGGAACTGAGAAAAGCCCCTTGGCTGCAGCTGCTGAGGCTGCTGCAGGATGCAGCAAAAGACATCATTAAATCAGATGAGATGAGGCTAGCAGCCACCCTGAGCAATCAGCTTCCTGGTCCTGGCTTAAGGCAGGAACAACTATACCTATGGCAATGCTCATACATTTGCCCAGCCTGCACCTAAACTCTCCAGTAACATGAATCAAAACCTCCCCAGACCACCTACACTGGCATTTCACTGCTTTGCCACTAGATATGACTTTTCTTTTTCTATGTTTAGCTGAATTTAAACCCATGACTGCTTGTCCTGCTTGCAGCACTAGAAAAATCACTCCTACAACTCTTCCTGACCTGCTTTTGCAGATTTTTTTCTGAGCTAACTTGCTCAGACTTACGTCATGGGTTGCATCTGCTTGGCCACTAGTCCTCGTAGATTCCTACTGGACTTGCCCCAGTTTCATCAGACCTTTCTCAAGATGCAGCGTCCCAGACTGAGTACAGCATTACAGATAAGATTTTGTTTCAGGAAGGTTGTTTCCTTGTCTCACAGGCTATTGCCATGTTGATACATCCTCAGGCACACTCTCTGGAGCTCTGTACTGATGGTACCTGCCTACACAGCGCTCAGCTCTTGCTGCTGATAAGATCTTTCAAATTCACCTCTAAAGTAAGGGCAAGCAGCAGCTCATTTCCTAATGCCACAGCAAATCTGCTCAGCTCCCCATTATCTGCTGCAGGATTATCTAGTTTCAGCATTAATTGTGTCATGTAGGCAAAGACAACAGAGCTGGTTCCATACACACACTTCAGCTCAATGACAAAGTTCATTAGCACACACAGGGTACCATGTAGCTGCAGCTACATCTCTGGTGTAACCTTCACAAGCAAGTTGGGAACAACATTGCTCACTAACTCAGATTCAACACTGGCCTTGCAGTATTGGAGTCAATGCTGTGCCAATTTGCTTTGGCACCTCTGAATTTTCTTCTGGAGCTGGTAGCTCCAAAACTCACCAGATCAAGCATAAATCTGTCAGACAGCCATCATATTATTTCTGATGTGCAGAAAATTAACTCAGATAATTGGGAGGGAGGGGGTCCATTGCCCAAGGAATCTGACCTACTCATTGCTATGGATAATGGCAAGCCCATACAGCATTCTGCCACATCCATCAAAATGACAGAACTTTTGGAAGAGAATTTCATAGGACAATATTATAATGCTACTTAAATTAATTTCATCCGCTCTACTACAGATGTGTGCAGATTAAAGAAAACCATAGGATACAACACACTTCTACTTACTTGTCCATTGGCTGAATCACATCACTTATGTTCTCCTCTAGAAACAGCACAATTGGCAGGGCTGCTACTATTCTTAAGGTGGTGTATTGTGTGTATCAGGTGTGCAAGGAGGCGCGAGAAGGATCCCAGCGCGTGTGGATACGAAAGGGTGGCAAATGTAAGTGGCAATTTCCCAGATTTGTAGTGACTGAGTTGACAGGATCTGCAGTTAAGCAACCTTGACTCCAAGTTAATAGGGTTTTTGATTGGGAGGTAATTTCCAGGGTTTTTTAGGAGTTTATATCAGTGCTGATAGTCATTTACATGAATAGTGATAATGCATTATCCTTCTCATGTCTTCCTACTAAACCTTTATGTCTCCTGTACCTTATATCCTAGCCTCCTTGATGGTTTCCTGAACAGCTGCATTCAATATATTTTTAAGAAAAGGACAATCCACTAATATTTCCCCAGCCAGAAATGGTGAATACGTAGGTATTAAAATATTTTAAAAAATTGAAGCAGCCCATGACAAGTCAATTTGGGAAATTAAATTCAGCCACTATAAAACATATTGCAGAAGGAGTCCTGGCTTTTTTCTAGATCAGCTATCACTGTAGAAATTACAGGGATTGCCCAGCACTGCTGTACTATCAGTGGTGCAAGTGATTTCAACATAGAAAGGTACTGAGGAGAAGCAAGGGCACATGTTAGAGAAGGACACACAAGACCTACCTCGCTGGCAGAGACTGGTGACTGGTCAATGCCCCTGTTGACAGACTCCCAAGATCTGGCAGTCAGCATGCAGGCAAAGAGAGGATACAAATCCCCTGCCCCAAGCCGCCGGCTGTACTTCTGCACCCTCTTCATATCAGCCTTGATGAGGGCTTGCCAAAGGCGGCAGTAGTCCATGCGAAATGACTCGCTCAGCACCTGGGAAGGGAGACATGGTCCCCAGAAGCCCATAGAGGACAGGAAACAGGGGGAAAAGTCTTCCATCCCTTACCTGTGCCCTATCCTCCATTTCAGAGTCAAAAAATATCATTAGAGGGTTACGGAACTATTAGGCAAAACTTATTCATATGTGCTTAGAGAGGCAAGGCTGCAGTCTGATGCCCAAAGGCAGCCTCACAAGCCCCTGGAAGCCTCTCACACCTACATACCTGGTAGAGTCCATGATCCAGGAGAATAATGTGAGCCTTGCCAGAGGCTGGACACTTCTTCACTAGCACATTGCCTGGGTGTGGGTCACAGTGCACAAAGCCATTCACAAAGATCATTTCGCTGTAGAGCTTCCCCAAGTTGCGAGAGATCTGTGAGGAGACAAGAGATGGTCACACACTGCCACCCACAGTAGGGTGCTTGCCGGGGAGGGGAGGCAGTCTCTGTGTGACAACCCAGGAAGCAAGGGTCTGTACATGCTCACATCCCCACGCAGAGCTCCTGCAGCTCCTCACACTGATGGAGGCACAGGGTGGCTGCAGGCATCTACAGGTAGCAGGGTGGTCCAGGAGACTCACAGAAGGATCCATGCAGGGAGCACCATGAAGGTGTTTGTGGGATCACAGGTTATTTAAAGACACTTTTCTAGCATAAAAAAATAAGAGATAGTACCTGTGGGTAGGAATGGGGTTTCTGGTAATGAGGAAGGTGGGACAGCAGATAGTGGCAGACATGCATTCCCAGGGAAGGCAGGGAAATTGCTCCTGGGGTGGGTGAGACTGCTTGGAGGAAGACTCAGGTGTTTCCATCCATGGATGGCAGCAGGATACAGTGGAGAAGGGGTGAGGGGAGACTCAGCCAGTCAGTCTGCTCACCAGAATGAACATCGGCTCCCTCTCCCCTCCCTTCATCACACTGTCCCCCACTTTCCCTCTTCCTTTCCTCAGACCCATGCTAATCTGATTTGAAATGTCTGTGAAGATGAGGAAGCACAGAAAAGCTGTTTAAAACATCCTGTCACTGCTGTGTCCCTCCATACTACTGCTCCTTATCACCAAGAGATGTTATTAAAGTTAAAAACCTCCTAGGAGAAAGCACACATCCCCAGGGCATGAGATCAATCCCTTACCACACACTAACACAGCAGCCTTGCCCTGCTATCCCACCACCAGCCCTCCCTGCCATCCCAAGAGGCACAGTGCTCCACAGCAGAGTGCTGAACAAGCAATTAAAAAACAGTTGTTATAAATTATTCCAAGCATATCTCCCGACACACCCCGTAAGCAGCAAACTGGCAGCTGTCCCCATAAGCAAAGGTGGTAGAAGAGGTAACAGGGATAGTAATGACAGCTCACCATGCAGAAAACCAGACAGACAAGAAAAGGCTTGTTTTAGCCACCTCTGAAACATGGCCACCTCTGAGAAGAGCATTCATTATGAACAGTGGCCAAGTAACTACAAATGAGGAAAAATAACAAGAACCCTTCCTGCAGCACAACAACAGGGACAGTGTAGGATCAGGTGAAACCATCCTCTGTCTGTCAGGTGGGACCTGGAACCACTGCTGAATCACGTGAATGCTGGCCTGCCCCATGATGAATCACTCACACAGATGGAACAGCACAGCCCTGTGATCTCCTGTACTGCAGCTTCCCCAATGCCATGCAGGTGTTATTTTAAGTAATGACTGAGGTGAGTGATATTTCTCTTCTGAATCACCAGCAGAGATCACCAGAGCCATGAAGTGACCCTTACAAGTCTCCTTGATCGGCAAGCTCTAAAATTAGATAGGACCAAAGTACCAGGTGCTGTGATCTCACATAAGAGCTGAATAGCCCTTGCTGACAGTCCAAGGACATGCCAAATAGTGCTTTAAGCCCATCACGTAATTCATTCACAAAGCCTCTCAGGGACCCATAGACCAGAAGGAATGGACTCAGACTTTATGACTGATCACAGCATCAACCCTGACACTGGTGCACACACTGGGCTAACCACACTCAGCCCTCACTGTCTCAGCCGTTTGTTCTCCAAGGGCATGGAAAAACACAGAATTTTAGAAGATGAGGACTTGGGGACAAACTGGGGACCAACGTGATGCCTCATACCCATCGAGCACAAGTCCAGGCTGGGAGTTCTGCAAACCTATTGACTGGTCATGGCCAAAGGGGTTGTGCAATCTCCATCCTTAGATGTTTTACAGACCTGGCTGGCTAATACCCTGAGTATGCTGGTCTGACCTCATAACTGACCCTGCCTTAGAAGAAGATTTGATAGAAACCTTCCTGAGGTTCCCTTCCAAACCCAAATATCCTAGGATCCTACAGAAATGCCTCTCATCAGATTATCCATGCCACCCTCATTAACAGCATCTTATGATATGGCTGCAAGTTTCAGATGCAGAGATGGTCCCCCCTCCTGAGTCACCATCAGCAGAAAAATGACTAAGTAGATCCATGGTCATAACCTCTTACAGTCTGTAATGCAACACAAAAGCAGCTTGAGATCCATCTTCCCATCCTCCCATGAAAACAAGAGGGGTCATAGCTCTGCTCAGACTCACAGGCTGAGTCATGGGTAGAAGACAATGTTCTCTGCAAGATCCCCATCCTGTTGCTCTTCCTTGCTGTTCTTATATTTATCTATTCCTCAACATACAACCTTTAATATCTCCAGTATCTCAACTAAACTTTGACTTCCTTAAGACATACAAATGTATTTCTGTACTATTTCATACAGAAAGCATACAGAAGATATTTTACAGTGATTTATGATGCAAGCATATAAACAGTCTTCACTTTCAGAAAAAAATTTACCATGGAGCTGTGGTACACACTAAAGTATTTTCATATAATTTTGTCTATTGTCATACCTCTAAAATAGGTACAAAATAAATTAAGACAGAAAGCACTGTCAAATACTGTCAAATTCTAAACAAAATAGGAAGCTTTACGCTCTAGATCTTAAAGTGTAGTATGTGAATAGTGACCTATCATCATAATTCAGAAAAAGAGAGTTTACATTTCTTGAAAAAAAGTTTAGGAAAAAAATCCCATGCAACCTTTATATACATGAATTCTTCAGTACTATGCCTTGTCACTTCAGGCCCTTAATTCTACCCTTATTGAGAAGGCTACTGGATAAATAATAACTACAGAATTCACTCTGGAAGAACATGGCTAGGTGAAACGAGAAAACAGACTTATGAAAACCTCTGTTCAGGAGAAGGGAGGAATTCAGCACACATTTAGGCTACGTAAGACCTCAGGGTGAAGGTGCATCACAAATTAGAAAAAACGGTTGCAATGATTTACAGAAGCAAAGGCCACAGTTAACACACAGGCTTTTTCTTATGACACAGAGAGGTCATCAGTCCTTTCCCTGTTTATCATCCAACAAAACAAGGTTTTTATCATTACCGGTGTCCCCCAGCATTGTTCTGCTGCACACTAAAAAAACAATAATCTTGGAATTCTGCATTCACTTCCAGACACCTCGTTAACTCAAGAGATACAGACTACACAGAGGGAGTTCAGAGAAAGCAAATAAATGAGCAGGATGCAGGAGGCATTTACTTGGGATAAAGATTAAAAGAGCTGAAGATTCCTGAGTTGGCTAAGGAATGGCAGAGGAGGAACAGTCTACCAGTTAGGAGGTTTGAATAGCAAGGAAGCAGAAGCACCTGTAGTTCTGTATGTGCTACAAGAAATACAACCAGGCAAAAGCAGGTGTCCTCATGAATGGCATAATTTAGGCGTAACACATAAGAACAAAAACTATGCTGATCAGCAAGCAGAGCTTAGCTCGATATATCAGGACGACATCAGGCTCTGGGTCTTGCCAGAGGCATGTCCCTGCTTTTTGCTAGAAGGAGTGTTATTGCCTAGAAGAAGCTAAATTTGCCTGTCTGTGCTGCAGCAGAATATGATGACTACAGTCACTAAGTGAGCCTATGGTCTTTACCAGTCAACGCAAATACCAACCTGCCACTACCAAATTATGTGACATGACCATGACACCATGTCAGGCAAACCATGCATTTTCAGGCCAATGTTTTCATTTTGAAAAAAACAGACCTGAGGAATAAACAGATGGCTGACAACAATCAAACAATGGAGTGACAGATACATGTATAACAGCTGGACTTCAGAGCAACCTAAGCACATGAAGTGTGCTCAATCTGACTTCTCGCTTGACATTCCTCCTTTTTATTCCTTTCTACCACTTCAGTCCTCAAGGCCAAAAAGTGCTATTGCTACTCTGGTCCTCCGCTACAATGTCAGACCTCTCAGTTTGGTGTCATCAACAATCTCCTTGATACAGTTCTGTTTGTGTTGAGGTCATCACCAATTTGTTAAATGAAATCTGTTTGTAGATCAAATCTCATTGCTTCTATGAGTTTCTTACCTACTTTGCAATTTTCCTACTAATCCCCACTTTTTCTCGTTAATGGAGTCATATCCAGTGTACCAAATATTTTAACAAGTACACCTACTGCATTTCTGTCACCTAACTCAGAGGATCCCAAGCTGCAGTGCAGGTACCAGCAGTGATATATTTCTTCTTGTATATGTATACAGCCACAATATGTTGCTGCCATCAGTTTTGAAAGCCTAGACACCTGTCACCCTTGTCCCTCTATGCAACTCTCCTCTCAACCAATCAGCACACCCTCTGACAGAGCAATGTGACAACAACAAAACTCTAGAAAGTTCACCACAACTGAGCATCTTTAAAAACACCAATACACAAGAGTTAGCAAGAAACCTCTCAGAAAAGAAATAATGCATGCAAATTTGAGTTAATGAGTATTCCTACAGTAAAAAGCACATACATCATGCTCATGGGTAGCACGATATAATGCAATGTAACCAACCAGCTTGGGTTACCTGGGGAAAGTCACTGATACTTTCCTGGACTTGTGAGCAAGCTGGAGTGGTTCTGGCTCTATGCCTCTAACTGACATGAAGAAGAGAAAAAGCAAAGAAAAAAATACTGTGTCACAGTCCTGTAGAGATGATCTCACTGCCTGCCCCTGATAAGTCCTAGATGAAACTGCCTGATAGGGCATCATCCCTTTCCATCCCACCTCCATCTGTGACTGTCTCTTTAGATCAGAAGCAGATACTAGTCTCTGGCCTTAATTTGGCTGTAATATTTGCCAATTATTTTAAGAGATGGCGACACTAACTTCTATTGATCTCATTAAAAGTAAAGGTCGTTGTGCAGCTCATTTCTCAGGGCTCAATATTACCTCCTCCGGCCAAAATAATAGCATTGATTTTGGAACTTTAATCGAAGGTTAATTGGATTGAAGACTGTATTGGGTTTTTGCTTGCTTTCATTGTTGTTATTACAGCCATTGTCTAAGGTTTTGCTTAATCCTGCTAGGGCAATTCTAGCCAATTAAACTGTGTCAAATTAGCAAAGGGTGTGGATGGAGAATAGCCACAATTTGAAGCCTTCTCTGCCTCTGCTCTGAAATGGCTCTGATCCATAATAGATTAGGGTGGTCACACAAGAGATCTGATTTCACACTCTGTGATCCACTTGTGAGGATCAAAAGTGCTCTGTTTGGCAGTACTATTACTATGCAGTGATCTAGCATCACAGCAAGATGATGTCTGAACACACTTGAAGATACAGGAATAGTTTTTAGGACTCCTGGAGTGCACTCCCAGCATGCCCTGTATTCTCTGCTGGGGACTCAGGAAATTATTTTCATGCTCAATGCTCCATCTTCCATGGCAGTTAAGTGGGGAGAAATACTCTGATTTACCCACCAAGGGAAGTGAGGGACTAACTCGCCAAGTTTGCACAGATTCTCAAAAGGGCACAGCTAGAGAAGACTAGTCATTGGTTTTTTATCTCTGTCAGACCCTAAATGACCATGGAGATCATTTCCCTTTGTTTTAAATGAAGTTGTATTTCCTTGGATTTAATGCAAAGCATCTTGTTGAGACTTAAGCAATTGATTGGCATTGATGCTCAATACCAGCTTTCAGTAAGAAACAGGTCTGTGTGTAATTTAACTCTTTTACGTGGTGTCTGTGCACAGTTCAAAAGCTGAAAATACCAGGTCACTACTCCTGCTTATCAGTGCCTTGTGAATTTCACTAAGCTTCAGACAAGATGAAATGTAAGAGAATCTGCAAAGAAACCTCTCTCCAGACTAACTCAGTAAGTGCAAAGAGCAAGAATGGCCATTTTCCCTAGAAACAGTGTTCTTCTCTATGCTCTGCTTCATCTAACACTTGAGTGTTACAAGCACAAATACTTCAGACATGAGAGGTTTTCACTGCTGACAAAAGGATCCCACCCTGGGAAATCCCACTTAAATTTTAGCAGCTACACAGCTACAGCTCCTGACTCTTGGCAGAAGGGTAAATCCCACACTGGAAGCTTATTTCAAGTTGCAAAGCCATCAGCTACAGGAAGGTACTGGGCTCTTTATCGAGCTAAGAGATACTGTTTCAGTACAGAATCCATTTAGTAACAGAAAGAAGAAAAACACCACAGTAGGATGGAGTAACAGATGGCAATAATTGTGCACAGTAGCTCATCTTAAGTACCTTAGCTGTTTGCTTTCAATTCTCAGCAGGACAAAACACTTTTCTGACTTATGAATCAACCATGGCTCGTGACCAGGCTCTTAGCAAGCTGAAGTACGTGGTATCATTTCCTTTCCCTGACTCAAATCCAAATCAGGCTGATCTTGGGGACTCTTCACTTCGCTGCCTGAGCTGGCTGGTTAGTTTGAGGCTATAAAGCACATGCTATGAGCATATCTGGAAGATCCACAGGTCCTAGAGCCCGCTGATACAGCAGTTTCTGCAGAGACAGGCAGAGAATCCACAAAGAAGGACACGGAGAACCCATGTAGCAGACCAAAGATAATGTTACGGTTTTTATACAAATACAAATGAATCAGGTATAATCAGAATGGATACAAAAGAAACATTTGTGCCATTTGGGATCTTCTTTAAAAATCCATGCTCTAAGAAGCCTTGCTGCCCTTCCTTTCCTCCTGTATACAGTATGCTACAAATCCATTGAGAGCCCCTTGGTCTAATTTTTCTCTCTTCCCTGTTCTACCCACTTCTTCCAAATATACCTTCCCATCCAGGACTACAAATGTTATTGTGTTTTAAAACTGGAAGAGCCCCGTTTCCAGATGCCCCCTTCTTAGCCCTGCTATGTTCTAGTCTTCCCTTAAAATTCCTGCCAGCTCATTCTTGGTAACTCCCCTCTCCAAATTTCCTTTTCACTGTCAATATCCCAGTTGCATGTTCTTCTCAGCTACATTACAGTGTACAAGTACACTTGCACATGAATAAGTAACTGTTCCACAGGCAGATATTTCAATGTTTGCACTTGTCTTTAAAAATCAAAGCCTTCTCTGATTAAATGCCATTACAATCCAGCACTTGGACGGATCCAGAGAGATTAATGTGCTTTTGGGCAGCTTTAATGATAATCCTGCTACAGACGGTATTAAGTAAATGTCAGTAACCTGGTTTGAAGGGAGTTTTCACCTCAGGGATCCTTTCCATTTAGAGGAGAGAGGCTCAGCTTGCTTTTCAAGGCTGCATTGTCACAGAAAAGAAATCCTGCTTAGTGAAGACTGCTCTTCCTCCACCCCGTAAAACAAAATGGAGTAAAATGATAGAGGGACTGATAAAATAAATATATTCGGGTGATTTATAGGGAGCTAATGCATCTCTTGAAAGCCAAGATTGCTGCCATATTATAAACCAGGTCACAGTTTTGGAACCTGGGTTGCCACTCCCTCCTCATGTTCGTTTCAGGGTCTGCTGCCTTTTGCTCATCTCCCCACTATGCCATGCAGTTCTTTACCCAGGGCAACAACAGCAGCAGCCAACAGTTAACCTAGGCAATATTTGTCCCCATCTGCTGCACCTTGCCACAGGAGAAGTCTGGGGTGTGCACTGCCCCTATCTCATCTTACTGTGGCCATAATAACAAATCTCTTTTCCCATCACATGATTCTGACTAGCTCAGTATTCCCTCCTTTCTACCTTGCTTTGTTGGCAATCAGTAAAAGTTAATGATTAATTTCAGGCAGCAAGGAGAGAAAAGGAAGAAAGAAAATTCAGTCCTAGTCCTACCACTGAGCTCAGTAACATCCTCTACCTGACGGATGGCTGGAACTCTCTAAGGCTTATATTTTGCAGTAGTAGAAGTCTGTTGACAATTTTTTAAAAACTACTTCTTAGCTATTCTTTAGAGACTAGCTCAGACTCAGCAAAGTACGTGATTTCACTGCTGCATGGATGTATTGTGCCAAGTCGTCACAAAACAACCTTCCCAAAGGCATGGATAAACAAAAAAATTAGCAGAAATTTTCACCCTACATTGCTCCTATCACAAGCAAAAGCCTCTGCAAGTTAGATAAACTGAGATTAGCTGTTTCTCTACAACTGTGCTATCTCCAGCACTCTGAGAAAATTCAAAGAAAATCCAGGGAGCTACACACTATGCTAACTATCTCAATCTCAAAATGGATCTGCTGTCTGAGACCTATGAGGAAGCCCACCTCAAAATCGAAATGTAGATATTGCTCAAGAGCTCTTCCGTTAATTCATCAAAACAAGCCCTTCTGACTCTCAAGACCTGAGGAATATTCACTCTTCTATCTGAGCAGGTGGGCTAGATTTCACCTCTGCCTATAGCAAAACTATAGGATAAATTCACTCAAAGAAACAACTCTCACTTTGGACAGTTGACTTGTCCAGATGAATGGAGCTGACCACATTTTGCTACAGACAGAACTTTTCAAATCTCTCTTAATAACAAAGTCCATGAGATAAAAATAATCAGAAATTGAAGTTGCTCCTTTAGGGTAACAGGAACTTCCATCTTGGAACAAATCATGAGTGTCTTTAATGTAGGAGCATGGTCATCTTTTACTATGTTACCTTGAAGATCTTCCTAGCTCTGAAGCCTACACAAAAGTATTCCTCGAAAGGAATTATGTACTTTTCCAAAGAGCACAAGAACAGAGATCTCTCAGATTGATTGCTCTGTTCACATCTGTGTGTATTTATTCTCCTGTCCCATCCCATCCTGTCCTGTCAGCTTCCATTTTGCATCGAGGTCAAAATCAGTTTTGCATTGCTTAGCACGCAATTCAGAGACGGCTGAGAAGCTACCTCATTGACATTGATGCCATTCCTCTCCATATAGGCCCTGTCATTCACTTGTCCCCCTTCCATAAACTCCATGAGAAGGACACGCCTTGTGGAGAGCTCCCAGTAGATCCTGGGGACCTGAAACAGAAACAGATGGGTTAGGTCAGGCAACAGCTTGGGAAAGGAAGGAGAATATATCACACAAATCCCAGAAAAGGAGTAAAAATGGAAGCAGCTGAAGCGAGGACTTGGCTTTTTTGATAAGCACAAGGGAGGTAAGTCTATCCATCTGCCTCTTCCACAGGACAGCAGCAATGTGTAGAAGGATAATACACCAATTCAACTAAACTAGGATCTGATCTCATGCAACATTTCTGACCACACTCTACAGGATTCTGACCACCTCCCATTCCCAGTGATGTCTGAGATACCTTTCTTACCTGTTCTGCAGCTCCTCTAGCTGGGCTGTTTAACTAGTACCTATTGCAAGTTTCTGAAATCCACTCAGCTCCTTTAGACAGGAACTGCATCTTGTTTGCTATGCACAGGGTCCACTTATGCAGCTTTAAAAATTATAAGCCATCATCATAAATTGTATCTCCGCAGTGCCCCTTGGAACACGAATGTCTTTGAGCTGACAAACCCTGCATACTTAGGCCATCTGCAATCGAACTGGGAGAAAAATCGAGTGTCAAAAATAAGGGACTTGTCACAGAAACCCTGTGAGACCCCTAATTGTCTTATTGCCAACAACACAGTAATAGTGTAAAATGTCAAAGCAGTTTTCATTCAAGCTGTGGTAGATCAAGCTTAGTGAGGTACCAGCGAAGAGGTCTGGTGTCATCCAGTGAGGCAGTGACAAAAGTGTCACTCAGGCTGGCTCCCCATTTTCCAGCCTCCCTCTCCAGACAAATTTCTCCCATGCTGAAGTCCCTATTGTCAAGAACCATTTTGCTGAATTCTCTTTTGAAATTTCTAATGTTACTGTCCTCAGTCTGCCCAAATCTTCTTTTGCACATGGGTGAAGCCACATTTGTACATTTTAGCAAAGACATAAGGGAGCTCCACTCACTCTCATTACTACCCCCCCTTACTATGACAGACATAACAATTTTGGATCACACAAATAGTAAGCCAGCTGTGCAGTCCCCTCTCCTCACCCTCCTGACTCAGCCATGGACTCAGGACCAGCACCTCAGGGCAGGAAAGGAAGAGGTAAGAGGTGTTGTCCATCAGCTGACCAAAACCAGGGGATGACCAGCCAGGCCGCTGTAGCTCATCATAGCTCCTGAACAGGCAGGAACTTGTTCCTTTTAAAGCTTGTTGCTTTTAACTATTGACCATATCCCAGTCCCTTACAAACTAGCTGCTTCCCTCCTGTTCCTGTCCTAGAGAGACCACTTCTACTTCACCATGTGTGTGCTGCTTTAGATCAAAGTCTCCTTTGCTTAGCAATTTCAGTGTCCCTCAGTCCCATCATCCAACACCCCGGTACACTTTGCATGTGAACCTTGCTTAGACTTTGATGCCATAGATCCACTATGAGCAAGGGAGATTCAGACACTCACAGCCTTCCCAGCTTATCTGCATGCCCATTCTTTGCAGTTAGAATGGTGAGAAAGCCTGCTAACTCCAAAGCTAACAGTTCCCCATCCCATGTAGCTCACTGATCCCTTAGCTCACTTCCGATGACACTCAGTCTTGTCTCAGGATTTACATGGGCAAGTCAGTGAGCTTGTAAAGCGCTATTCATGCTGTTGGAGATGCCTCTCTCAATCACAGCCAAATTCTTCAGTGATTTTTTAAATTACTCACAGATGTTTGGCTCTAATGCTTGTGTGTGGAAATAATTTATCTCTGGCTTTAAAAGCTCAAACAGGTTCACAGCACAAAATCTACTTCTCAGCTTTCTAGCATGTTTAGGAAAATTTATGATACAGAAGCCCAATTCTTCTGCAGCTTTTAGGTGATGAACACGTCTCTGAATTGGCAGGTCAGACAGGAGGATCCATTATTTAGCCATCTCAAGTAATTTGTTATTGTTACACATATTGATATAATGATAGCTCCTTACCCCAGCAAGGAGGTGATTGGCCATCTCCATGGGGATTTACTTCACAGTATGCTACTTACAGCTGCAATGGACATACTCTCTAAGGTGCATCACTTCTGATAAGCACCCACTCACCAAAACCACTGGCCTCTGGCCTTCCATGGGGTGCCTTTTAGCTGTCCGTGTCTATGGGAAGGCCACTGCTGCCACCGGGCTCCAAAAGGACTTCTCCAAAGCTGGCATTAGGCAACATGGAATTACATCCCTTACATGGAAGGAGCAAGGAAAAATGGATATATCATCCTGTAAAGCCTAACTAAAACTCACCTTATTTCAGACCTCTGACATCTTGAGACTTCTGCATAAACAGGAGGGGACTAGCTCATTTAGAAGTGTGTATCCACAAAGGTCCACAGGATGTGTTTTTTGCTGCCTTTTTGTATGTGCCACGGGCAGAGTGACATCAGTGACTGCAACCATGGTGCTATGTCTGTTTCCAGAAAGCACACACTGGAGGCTTGAGTGTCTTGTATGTCAGCAAAAGATTTCTGAACGTGTGACTTTGAAGATGTGGCCTTATGTCTTTCCAAGACTGAGATGTGTACATGTCTGGTTGTACTTGAGACATTTATCAGTGACATAAGTATGCGGCAGGGGAGGTGGGCTAAAAGTATGAGTGGGGAAGACCACATATGAGTGCAATTTGGTTTCTGTATGAAGTACAGAATGCACTAGCCACATTCATACTAGAAGTATGAATGCACTAGCCACAGATGTGTATAAAGGACAAATGTCCAATTCTAGGGTGAGAAAGTGCTTTTTTGCAGTAGGAAGGACTCATGTGAATATGCTTCTTCTTGAGATACAAGATGTCCTCAATACTACTTGACATCATCAGTTTCAGTCTAGCTTTTCTCTTCTATGTCCATTTCCTGCCCTTAGTTGAGATAGCACCCAAGGAAAGGTACCACCAGATGGCTCAGTAAAGAATGGCAAATTCACAGTCTCTGAACAAGTCCAAAAACAAAATGAAATTCAGAAAGAAAACTTGGGAAAATGAGCAGCAGGCTCCAGAGACTGCTGGTCCCAAGTCACCACTCCTGACCCAACAGAGTGCATTCAGTAGGAAACAAACAAGGAGAAAGCAGGTCTCAGAGCATTTTCTGGTCTGTATTAGCAGAGCAGTCTAGGATGAACAACAAACACAGAGGGGCTGAACTCCATTTTCCCTCCTTATGGTTCCTCCACTTGGTGAATGAGGGGCATAAGACACAGAAAGGGAGACTATAAATGCACATACATTGAGAGAAATATGTGATTCCTCACCTTCAGGAAGTCAAAGTTTTTGAGCATATGAGCAACCTTCTCAGCATTTCTGCCTTCATTGAGGAAATCCAGCTCCAAGGGCAAATTCTTCTTTGCTTCTTCCACCAGCCACATGAACTCAAAATCTGGAAAAATCTGTTTCACAACTAGGAGGAGAACCTGAGAACAAGGAAACAGACAATCAGTTACATCCTGGCTCCAAAACCACACAGCTACACACAGTGCTGTTTTAATAGGATCATTCCATGTAACTTACAGATAAGAAAAACAAGTGCTTTTAGGGTTCCTATCACAACACAGTGTCATGCCTTGGTCACGTAACCCAAATTCTGGCCTACATTTCCACAGAGAAAGGCACATCTAGGAGTTAAATGATGGCACACACATCATTTGCTGCCTAGAAGTAACAGAACAAAGCTCTGGAGAAGAGAGCACAAGGCCAGATCTCACCAAGGGTGTTGTCCTGGAGCAATTATCTTCTGAGTCCTATAATTCTACAAGTCATTCTTTGGCTTCATTTGAACAGCTCTCAGATAATGTAGACAAGGAAGATCTAAAGTAAGACTTGTCACCTCTATGCTTCTTCTTCCATTGCTGAGCACAGAAAATCCTCTGGGCAGTTCAAAGAAGACAGTGGAGTTTGGATACAGAAAGTAGGCTACAGATCTTTAAATAACACTTCTGGTGGAGCTCAGAGGGCACGTTGCTCTTCAGCATCAAGCAAAGCCATTCTCAGAAGGCCGAGGAGGTATTTCCCAAGTATCATATATTCACCACATGGAATGCTCTTCTTCTTAAAGAGATTAGATATTCAGCAAGACAGCACCTTGAAAATCCCAGCCAAAAAGTTCCTTGAAACATTTGATTGAAGCAACATTTAAGGGGTGAGTGAATCAACATTACACAACTGGATGGCATAATCAAAGCTGCACAGCAGCCAAGTATACTTTCTGTTCATACAAAGGGACAGTTTCTCCAACAGAGCTGCAAATTTACACAAGCTGACAATTTGAACCACACCTTAAGGAAAATTTATTTTTGGCTGTTTTTAACTGAGTCATAAAACAAGTAAAAAACCATAAAAATAGAATGCACTTTGTTGTCTTTATTTCACCTGTTCTGCACATCCATCTGGAAACAGAGACAGGCTTTTAAGTGTGTGTTATTGCAGTTTCTCCTCCCCAGTCTCCACCACTGGGGTGGGAACTCCTGTGCTGCAGAAGGAACATTTAAAGTACATACAGAAAGCTGTTATCATTGAAATGTATGACAAAAATAAATTTATGAACCATCACTGCTCCTGCTCAGTTGTGTGACAACATTTGTTCTCCACCCCGTCTCAACTTCTCTTATCTAAATGTCAGTTGCAAACTCAATGTTCCTTTAAAAATGTAATCACCAGGTTCCAGACACTATTGAATTGTATTTTTTACGGTTATATCTAGAGACATAAATCCTTTCAAATTTATGTCACCCAAATGAAATGTAACCAGTGATCTTCATGAACATAAACTTCATAGGTTCTCCAAGATTATTTCATTGGTGCCTAACATGAGAAAATTCATGCATTTTTTTCACTTTCTTCAAGTGCTCTTTTCAATCAATTTGCCAACTTTACCATCACCAGGGACATCCTAACAACTATTTTGCCTATCCCTTGTCTGACACCTGTTTAACATATTGTCTTGAAATAATTATTGATATATAGAGAGCAGTGAGGTATCTCTCTCTGGGTTTATCAGATGCTGTACTGATTTTTAAAGAGTCAGCATTGATGCTATGAATCCTCAAGTGAATTTAGGAATTTTCCAGCTACATTTTCTTGTTCAGATTCTTTCCCATCAATCTCTAGATAAGACCATCTCCATCAATGTTTAAATCAACTTCTTTACCTAGCCGCAATGTCTGTCTGATTTTTAAAGGACCAGAACATTACCGCATGTGATGTGGCTTGCTATGCAGTCTACAAAAACAGTCCCACACAAGGACACAATGATGCACGTAAGCCAAGACTCCACAAGAGAGACCTTTTAAAAACAAAACTGCATGTGTCACCTTCTGAGCTACCTTTCCATACCTGTGTATATACAACACAAGAACAGTAAACCAGACTGTCTGTACAAGAAGGACAGTATTAAACTACCAAAAGAAAATACACTGGTTTATTTTCAAATTTCCCAGAAGGAAAAGTTTAAAGCCAGAAAAACACAGGAATCATTCTAAAATAATTTGTTTAAATGTCTCTTACCATTATAACCAGCAATCACAGCAACATGGTGTGAGGAGGTATGTTCCTGTGATACCCACTATTAGAAGTGCAAATGTCCCAATGTAAACACAGGTTTTGGGTCATTCACACAGAACCTTCTTATTGCACTGATCCCTTACTCTTTCATCACCTGCCCATTCTTAATCCTTGACTGCTCTTTGTCTGCCACCTTGTTTTGGGAGCGAGAGAAGGATGTCATAAGCCCTCCAGTGCTGTGCTGTGCACACGATGACTCACAGAAGCAAATTAATTGGGCAGACCACTGCATTGAGTCCTGGAGATGATCTGAATCAAACTCAAATTTACAGCTGGACCCAAAGCCAGTTCCAACAGTTCTGTGTTCTTGAACCAGCACTGAAACAGACCAATCCTATCTCATTGGGAGATCTCTAGGAGTTCAAATTAAATACTCAGCTGCAAACTTATGTGCCCTAGATGGAACCAGCTGTGCTTCTATGCAGACTAGCCAGGATTGCTCAAAGCAGGGTATTTTAATTGCCTAAAGAAGCTTCAGTTACACAGTGCTCTGAGAGGTTGCTGGCAGAATCTTTGATTTCTGATCTTCTGTGATGGAGAAATGTGTTACTGCATCAGCAATACCCTCCAAACACTCATCAGAACTCCTCAGCTTAAGCTTCCCCTCTTTAGTACCATGGACCTACCTGTCTGCCAATTAATGTGCACTTACTGTATGTACAGACATATATATATATATGCTTTATTAGGAGAGCAAAAAGCCTTAGTGTTACCACTTACAGACCTAATCCTTCCCCCCTCCTCCACCACAGCCCTGTCCATTTGATATTCTATACTATATCACTGGCATCTTTGTCAGTTGCAATGCAGTACAGTGCTGCAGTTTATTTCCATTTCCTCCTTTCCATGGCTAGACTTAGAAGTTTGTGAAAAGCTACAGCACTGCACTGGGAAGTAAGAGTGGTACCTACCATTCAGGAGAGGAACAGGAGCTAGGCACTGAAACTTTTTTCCTAGCTGAATCCCTAATTTGTTTATTTGCCCCTGTTAGGTGACCCTCTCTGTATTTTAGTGTTTTTGTTTCTACCATGAATCAGTTCAGCATTAAGGAGCTGATCAAGAAACAAAACTTAATCATAGCAACCTCAACCACTGTTGAACCCACACCAGAATTTGATTGAAAAACATGCTAATCATGAACAATGATTTTCCTTGACCACACAGGCCTGACTACAAGAGATCAGCTAATGGTCCCTGAGACCAGTTAATGGGCACACGGGCTGAAAAGAGACTTCAGGACTCACCCTCTATTTCTTAAGTCTTATATGGACTTACTATAATGTCATTCATCTTTACCTGTCTTCTCCTTCTGCCCTCCTTTCCTCTTACACTGCTGTTCAGTCTCTCCGTCCATACAATCACCAGCACTGCAATCCTCACAAATTTTCTGTATTAATCCTGTAAGACAGCACTGATCTCTGTGGAGGTTTCAAAGCCACAGGTTGGTGTTGTTATACCTGATTACACCATAGATGAACACGATCCCCATACACTTCAATGGCAATTATTCTCTAAGTTTGAAGTCAGCATGTAATTTTACCTCCATGAGCAATATATCCTTGGAGCTCTGAGCTTGGACCTTGGGGTGCTGGATTTTCACTGCCACGGTTCTCCCATCCTGCAGCACTGCTTTGTGTACCTGGGCTAGTGATGCTGCTCCCAAGGGAGTGTCCTCAAAACTCATAAAGAGCTCTTTTATCTGCCAAGAGAAGAGAAAGAGGCATCAGCATAGGGTAATAGAGGCCATGGTCAGGAAAGCCCTGCCCACAGGCCAGAGAGTTCATCTGCCAAAGCTGGGCAGACTCAGCCCTTTCATACTTCTGTCCCCGCTCTTAGCCTTGTCATTGTTTGGCCTCTGAGTGAAGCCTGCCAAACACACAAGTGCCCTGGAGATACTCTGCTTGTGGAAACCTGTGACAGAGTCCCAGCAGCACGTTTCATCTTGGATTTGTAGTGGCCAGGCAGTGTGTGAGAGACTTCTTCAGGCTGTCCTGAAAATGGCTTCAAGTGACTATGGTCAGCATCCTGGGTGCAGAAGCCAACAGCTGTTCCTTTACATGTGTTTCTTTTGCAGATAATTAATACCACCTACCATCACCCCTGAAACCTGACAGTATGTATTCCTGTGCATTGCAGCAGCAGCAGCAAGCTTACTTGGTGAAAACTAGCACGTGACTGGGGAGCAGTGGTTAAGGGCTGCATTCAGGGCAGGGGGACAAAAATTGCTGTTTCAACCATGACAACTTGGCCTGAAAACATGTTTAATGTGATGGACTTTGCCATACCTTCCATAAAAGTAACCAGTGCTCTCAGCTCAGAAAAAGCACCAATCAGGGACAGCAAAGCACTTGGCAAGCAGGACAGGAAATTATTAGAAGCTCTGCTTGAGAAATTCAGGACTGGACTAGAAGAAAAGTTGCAGATGAAGTAGATTTACCAGGAGCAGGTCCAGGAAGCAAATCCAAGGTAGACATGGGTGAGGGCAAAGGACCACCTCCCCTGCATAACACAACACCCTACTAAAGACCCTCTTGGCAGCACCAGGCAGCACAGGCTCTCCAAACACTACAGCTATGGTAGTATGATTTCAGCCTAGCTGATGAGCCAGGCCCCTCCACACAGTCAGTGAGCTCACAGGAAGGGCCAACACAGATATGTGGCTTCAGGCATAGCTCATGTAATGCTAGTTGAGGATTTTTGTGCTGCTCTGTAGGGCAAGGTGAATGTAAGCTCTGAGGTTTCCAGAAGTCAGCAAAGGGAACTGTCCTACACTTCTCGCAGGCTCAACTGATTTCAAGTGAGCAGTTGAGAAGCCTGTAATTTATGCAGTAACAAAAAAGAAAGAATGTCAGTCCATTTTTATAACCTGCTTTTTAAAAGGTAATTAAAGATGGGAGCGGCAGCAACCTAGCAATTAAATATGAATAAAGACCTTCCAAGCAAAGTCTTCATGCAAAGCCTTAAACGAATACACTTTTTGCTGAAAAGGAAGAAAAATACTACAAGGAGCAGCCTGTTCCCTCCTGCAGCTGCCAAGGAATGAGCCTCCTCCCACACCACCCTACCTCTTCTCTCCCAGCCCCTTCCACAGAAAACTATTGCTAGCAACAAACTGGAGCATTTGCAGTAATTAGGTACCAACACAGACTCAGCTGCCTCCAGTAATTCACTAGGAAGGTACATTTTATTTATTTAATTAATTCTCTTTGGTCCTGGCGGCAAAATCAATTAAGTAAAACAACTGCATTTAAAAACAACTAGTTATGTGGTTTTTAATTACAGCAGGTCCATAATTCAAACCTATTGACACTTGTGTCTCAAGAGAAAATGTTTTCAAGACACAGGGACTTTTACCTTTATGTGAAGTTTATGTATTGCCTGAAGAGAAGATCTGTTAAGGGTAAAGATTTAAGGTGGCCAAGAGTCTGCTGGGCTGTAAGAACCCATAAGGAAGAAAAAAAATGCAAACAGAGAACCTGCCACATGAGGTCGAGCTGGGATTTTCTTCAACTCTCTCACTACCCTACATCCTTGTATCAGAGGGATGTACCCTTTACAAAGTGGTTACTACTCCAACTGTCATAAGGATGGGTAACATCCCCCAAAGATTAAAACACAGAATTGGGAGTTCACTGACTTGAATCCAGTAAGATACATTTATAGTAAGATCATATATAAATTGGATAAAATTCCATCTGCTCTGGATTTCAAAACCTCTTAATTGCCTACACTGTCAGTCAAGCCATTTTCACGAGAACTGAATGCATGCAGGGGGAAAAAAAGGCTGCACATGTTCCCTCTGGCAGGAATAATATATACCTCATTATCTTGTGACTAAGTTTTCTAAAGAAACATAGTTGAAGAAAGCTGCATCTAAGAGTTATTTTGGATAGAATAGTTTCATTTAAAAACTTGCTACTTAGGACATGGAAGTCAGGTTAGCAGTCACGTTGGATAAAGCCAGCTCATTGGCCCTCCCATAATTCCAGGACAATTTTGTGCACATTCACAGGCTGCAGACAAGGATAGCAAGGCAAGGGACCGCAATAGGGCCAGAGAATTGATGGATACCCCAGGAGCAGAAGGGTAGAGCATGCACAGGGGGAGGGAGCAGATCACAGCCGAGCCATTACATGAGCAGGTGTGAGGATGAGATGAAACAGAAGCGCAATTATGGCTGGGCTCCAGGACCCCCCACTTAGCAAATGACCCTCGTTCATTATGGAATTGTCTTTTTTCAGCTCGCTGGAGGCAGCTAATGCCTCTGCTGCAGGCTGTGCATCCCAGACATACAAAATCAAGCTAGAGGCGGTGCGACATGGAAGCAGAGAAGAGGTGAGCCTGGTTCCCACACTGCCTGGCCAGGAGTGGGGCCCTTCCAAGGGAAGGCGGCTGCACCCATTCCATGCAAGCAGGGAGTTCTTGGAACAGGCTGCAGGCTCTTCCTGCTCACAAGCACCCTTTATTGTTAAAAAACTGTCACTCCCAGAATGGATAATTAGCAAGCAAAGGTCTGGGACAGTCTTGGAGCCCACCTGACTTCAGTCAAGTTTTTCCAGCCGGTCTCAAATGGCCTCAAACTCACTGTTACCATCTGTAATCCTGGCAGGAGATGAAACAGGCATAGTTTCCCGACAGGTTTAATAGGAACTTTAGGGCTGCTCTTTCAAAGGAACAGGACAGCCAGCTGCAGGTTTACAGCCATACAGGTGAGCGGTGTCCCTGCACACAGTGGTTTCCCTCGCTCCTTCTGCAAGCCAGGACCCCATCAAGCACATGCTCCACCAGCAAATTAATGTGTGCTGTACTTGACTTGCTGGAAACACAGCCCTGACTGTTTAATTCTGAAGAATGAAGCTCATTTAATTTTAAATATACATGACTGTTGGTATTACTATTCACACCTCAAGGAACTGATATAAAAGCTCTAACAGGATCTATCTACTTTGACACTTACTAGTATGTATTTGTGCTGAGGTTGCACCTAGAGACCACATTAAGTCCAGAGCGCCATAGTATGAGATGGACAGCCACCATGGGCCCTGCACAAACTCATGCTTTCCAGGAATTCCCAGCTACAGATGTAGATGTCAGCTACAGGCTTCCTCACATGCCAAAGTGCTTTCCCAAAGCACAGCTGCTCTTCCCCAGGTCTGTAGCACATACCACCTGATGCCACAATGCTGGACACCAGGATGCCTCAGTATTTTTTGCAAATCCCTTCCTTAAACACTTAGGAAGATACTGGAAATCAATTGGATTTAAGCTCCCAAATCCCGAGTCCTTTCTGAAGGTATTACCTTACATGACCTGCCTAGTATGTTCTGAGAAGTCCTTGACAGAGCTGGGATTTAACCCAGATATCCCAAGTTCCAGCCTGATATCTTAATCTCTAAACCATAAAAGTTAAATGTGCATGTCTTGCTAGCTAATTTCTTTTGAAATATATTGCCTCTTAATCCCAACCTTTTTATATCCATGTTTTGCAGCAAATGATGGAGTATTACTGCCTGGTTTCAACTTCCCCACTTCACAGAGAGGTATGTTCTCTTCCCTCTCCAGAAAGGCTGCTAGCACAGTACTCTGGAGCAGGAGCCTAAGTCATGGAGCCCTTCCCCAGCCCAACACTACAGAACATCGCTCTACATGAGATGTGGTGGCTCTGCTCTGCCACTGTGATGAATGTTGGCCGTGTGTCAGCAGTTTGTTGAGGACAAATTTAGGGAGCAGTGAGATGCAGGATCACTAACAGCAGAAGGCATCAGGACCTTTGGAATTCACTTTATCAACACTAGCATGCTACTGCTCTCAAATTGAAAGCCCTTCCTGGTTTAAGGAATGTGAACCTCATCCTAGGCTGGTCATCTTTTCAACAAGATACACATTAACAGCTCATGCTGCCAAGGACGCAGTGACCCCTGCAAGTCTGCAAGACCAGAGCTCTAAGTGTGAGAAAAATGTTACTTTGTTGTAGAGCAATATACTTCCCAGACAGTGAGGGGTTTTTTCCATCATCCCAGCCCCTCTACGAAAACAAAATGTCAGTGCTGCTCTGAGAATTATTAAGACAGCAAAAACTGAAAGATTAGATTTATCGCAGTAGACAGTGGATTATGAAGAATAATTCATCAAACATCAGAACAAAAAGCCCACAATTTATAGGCGGCTTTGTTGAGTCAGTGAAATCTGATTGGACTTCTCCCCACCTAATGAATGCCAAGCTTAATTGATGGTTCCTAAATTCATCTGTCAAGAACATGTATTTATTCATTCAGTATTTTTAATAATATTGTAGATATACACAGAACAGTGGTTTTGTTTTCAATGGATTCGCTGGTGTTCATATTACATTTACACATACGTGCACATATATAGAGAGGTATATGCTGCATCCAAATGAATGCAGATAAAGGCATGTGTGTGTTCTCATGCACTGAAACAATTACCTATGGCTTAGTACAGAAAACCCCTGCATCTTTCAGTGCACAGGATGGAAAAGTAAGGTGGTTCTTTTCAGGCGGAGATATGCAATAAGGCACCTGTCTAGAATTTGGAAAAGCTGAGGTCTAACATTGTTTCTCCTTGATATTCCATGTGATGCTGGGCCACACCACGTAACAGCACTCATGCTTCAATCAGCAGAATTAGGGCTCTCAACACAGCTAGAAATCTGCCCTTGTCTAATTTATAAGGACCAAA